TTKSCCYCCCCTCCCTTTATACAAATATTATGAYAAMTTTATTGTTATTTTGTCAAGGGCATGTTAATGTACTAAAGTGGCTGAGCAAACGTTGTGATCTTAACATTAAAGATCARCTAGGAGGAACGCCTTTGCACGATGCTTCTGAAAAAGGACAATTGTCGGTAGGTATGGCTTGTTGGAAGWGAGTARAACATATAAGTCTCCTTCATGGTTCCTGCACCATCTTCAAAGCTGATAAAGCCGTAACTTTGCACCAAAACAAACATGTAATGATAGAATCTTCTTACACGCCTACAGACAATTATTCACAGGTTTCTATCGTTGCACGCTCAACGGTTGTCTCACTTCGATGCAAAGGCAAAACTACCTTTTAAGATATCGAAGAAAATCATGATCATACAATAATAATGACGATGATATTGATGTTTATTCCCTTCCATTCTGTTCCATCACATTCCTCTTCCACTACTACTTCTGTCTCTTCCTTTGTCCCTACCTCTACAGAACTGTCTACTGTTCTGTTCCGCTGTGTCATTTCCTATCTTGTTCTATTGTTCTTATATTTTGTATTTATAGGCCATCCAGTTTCTTGTAGAGAATGGTAACTTGAACGCAAAGCTGAAGGACAACAGTGGCCTGACTCCTATTGATTTAGCGGAAAAGTATGGCCACAAGAGATGTCTTGATTATCTTAGAGAAGCGTCTTTAAAGGTATAAGCTTATTATATGATTTTTTTCATTCATTGATTTAATCATTCTATATTTGTTTCATTTTAAATCGCAGGCCAACCAAGTCCGAGCAGCRAAGTTGATGTCTTATACTMACACGTTTGACAAACAATCAGTCGAGGACAAATCCGGCTCTTCTTTCCTCCATGTACTTAAAAAGAAACCAAGACAGATGGATCGACCTTCTTCCCCAAAATCTGCCAAGGCGCCCGATGTTCCACCACTGGATTTAAGTCCCGAACCTTCTCCGAGGAACACCCCGATTCCATGCATGATAGAGTTYGGAAAAGCTTCGGAATGGCAAAAAATGGCCGTTGAAGATGTAGCGAAGGAGTTTCCGCACACTGCCGAGGTCAATCATTCCGTTGAAGACCAAGTAATCCAGAGAGAACACATTTTGGTTTCCAACGGTGCGAAATCATTGGCTCCCTTAAACGAGGAATTCTGGAAGAATARAAATAGAAACGCGACACCCACGCGAGACGTAGATGCGTACACGCAAAACGCGGAGGATGCGCGTCGTTTTGACCACCACCCAAGTGAGGAACTAACATCTGAATTGCTGGAAGCCGCAAAACTTCGTACTCAAATTATGARCGCGAGGATGCAGAATCCTACCCCATCCCCCCTTCACATGTTCGATGATAGAAGCGAGGAGACTGAGGCAAGGATGGTCGAGGAATTTTCATCACAGATCCAGGCCGCGCGTGCTAAGCGATCGCCTCATAGCACGTTGAATAAGAGTGATTACGAAGTCATAAAAACTGTAGAAATAGAAAATGAAAACATGGGAGAAAATAATGAGAATAATGAGAAACCCATGGAACTTAGTGATGCTAGCAAGTCCACGTTCGAAGATCAAATGTTGAATCGTTCAGTAGAGTCGCCAGACCAGCCAGTTGCCATGAACTCCTCTCCTTCAGCTCCAAAAACTCTAACGGATATTTTTGCCAACAGCACTCGAGATCCAAGTCCGGAACCTGAGAAAGGCCCACCCGAAAACTCGCAGGTGAGTCACGATACGTCATCACCGCCGAAACTGGACGACACACCTGTAACAAGGGCTGCTGAACCAAAGGAGTCACCGAAGGCCCCTTCTCCACCACCTAAAGTAGACGAGGGTTTTCTTYCCAAGTCAAATCAAGTGAAATTACCTTCTCCACCGCCACCTCATGAAGTAAAGGATACCAGTCCTTCGCCTGCACCACCACAAAAGAAAGGGTCACCTAMACCACCACAGCAAGCTGATAAACAGCCCAGTCCACAAGTGGAGCCACCTCGTGGATATCCACCTCAAAAGAACTCGAACTTAYATTCAGCGACTCCCCTTGTGCAACCGTCAAAAGGCACATCGATGGCAGATCCTCCAGATATGCCAGGGACAAGTMCCACTGAAGAAGATGAACACAAAATAGACGAAAATGAGCAACACATTGACGAGGAGAATTACATGACAACTGATGAAGAGACAGAAAAAACGGCAAGTTTGCCACGACCAGAAAARAGTGCAGACGATAAGGTCCCGCTACGTCAGAGACAACTGCAGCCGCTGCCTCATATGACCGGAATGGAAACCACAAAGAAAAGTATGCTTCATGTTTGAATGCCTGCTTTGCTGTTTGCTTTCTCTCTCGCCTTCCTTCACATCCTTTAGTCATCCTTCCATTCATCCATCAACAAGGCTTATCTCCGCCTTTCCGTTCCTACCTTCCTTCCTTCCTTCCTTCCTTCCTTCCTTCCATCTTAAGCACATTTCCTTCCTCTCCTTCACTTGCTATCACGTTTTCTCTTCTCTAAACCTCGTTTTACTTTCTGAACATTACCTCTGTTACGCCTTTTCAGGTCATCAAGAAGCAATCGATCAAGAAACATGGGCAACATTGCCAGAATGGAAGCGTCAAGTACTGAGAAA